TCTGTTGTACATAGGGTGGCCATGAGTCAGAGCCAACTCAACGGCACCTAACAACAACACAGATATATATATCTGGTAGCGTAGTGCCTAAGGCACTCAACTGCTAACCAGAAGGCTTGCAGTTCAAACCCACCAGCCCCTCCTTGGAAGGATGATGGGGCAGTCTACTTCCGCAGTGATACTGCCTTGAAACCCAAGGAAGGGTCACTATGAGTCGGGTATGACTCGACAGCACGTAACAACAACATACATATATACATATACATATACATATATATATATATATATACACACACACACACACACACACACACATACATATATATAACATATACACACACACATACATACGTATATATACACACACACACAGACACAATATGGTAAGGGCAACTTCACATTAAAGCCACTACTTTGGCATTGAAACAAGATCAAATGCCTTTAACATTTGCCTCTTTGGTGGGGTTGGTCAAATTTCTGTCTTGTGGATGGATACTTAAGACTACCAAATGCCCAAATGTTAGAAGGAATTTGATCAATACTCCTACAAGAGTTAACTTTTTGATGTGACATTTTTTGATCTGAGATCTGTAAGAGCAAGATGCCAGTAATCATGTGTGCCAAAAGCCGGTTCATTTGTTACTGTTCCTTACTAAATTCAGTAAGAGGTCACAGCAGCCCTTTACAGATACTCACGGTCTCTTTCTTTAGTATCACCCATACCATCTGTCTTCAGCAAGGAGATGAAGACAGAATTGACTCTAGGTAAGTAATCCTTTCCATAAAGGCAGTTCAGCCATCTCTTTTCTGGGATAGTAGGAAGTTTCTATTTCTGCTTAACTCTTTCTAAAGGAAGAACAAAGAATTTACACTTGAAATCCAACTCAACAAAGAAGGCTCTCTAAGTGTTCCAGATACCTGGGCCAATATGCCTGATGAGTGCCCTGGTTCACTTCATCTAGACAACCTCACTCAGGTTACTTTCTCTCTTAAACGTCCACAAATTTTCTCTGCCTCTATTTCTCCCTGACACAAGACACCCAGATCAAGGAAAGAAGTCATGTGATAGGAATAGGTCTCAGCTCAAAAAATGTAAGGCCATACCACAAGACACCATAACACTACTCCCATAAATCTTACTAAAAAGGAAGCTTGTTCTCTGGTTTCCTATTCATTGTCCTTGAAAGAACAAGTAATGCCAAGTCACAAAAACCTTCAGTACTTTGCTTCCCATTTCCCTACTGCTATTATATTTACAACTTTATTTAGAAATAGCTGACTTCACAGCTTTTGCCATTCAGTAACCCTTCAACACAAGGGCTTAACATGAAATCCTTAAAATGAGCTGAGTAGACATCAAATACTCAAAAATCCAAATTACCTAGACTGGTAGAGGTTAATGCCCTGCTTTAACTATGAACAGAAAGTATCAATTTTGTACTTTGATTTGCCTGCCAAAGTACTGAGTCAAATAAACACATAAAATATGATAGATGAGGGCAACAGGGGTATTAATACCACCATGGTTATTGAGAAAGGTCTAAGAAGTGAGCAAATGTAGGTGTGCCCTAACCTCCTTTCACCTCTCTGCTCTTCTACATGACCTCCAACTCTCCTTTTCCAGTGGAGAGTGACTAAGAAGCAATCTTTTATTATTTCATCCTATTTTTAATTTTTACAGTCACATAAGCACTGAAGGCTATGCCACCAAGAAGTATATGGCAGGAATTCAAGTACCTGGAATTACTAGAAAAAGAATTACAACAAAAGAGTTAAGTATCAATTTAAAATTTTCATTAACCTTTTCATTCCCTAGAAAGTTGGTTTATCAAATTAGTTCACTCTGGAAAATAGAAAATCCATCATGCTTGTACAGCTAAAAGGAATCTTAGAACTCACTTCCCTGTTCATTCTACATATGCTGGCACTGGTCTAGAACAGCGTTAGAGATCAAGATTATAAGGCTAGCTAGTCAGAGACAGGACCAGGATACCACTCAAAAACTTTCCATTTATATTCCACAGTTCTCAAAGAAAGAACTTAAAATAGTAGGCTTCAAAACCCATGACATTTAGACATACCAGAGGTTAAATTCAACTCCTCTAAGAAGAAAGATGATACAATACATGCCTCAGCCTTTACTATAAAGTAATCCCTATGTGAGTCCTGGTAGCATAGTGCTTAAGGCACTTGACTGCTAACCAGAAGGCTGGCAGCTCAAACCCACCAGTCACTCTTTGGAAGGAAGGTTGGGCAATCTAGATACCGCCTCGGAAATCCAAGGGGGGGCCGCTATGAGTCGTGTCCGACTCGACGGCAAATAGCAACAACAATATGTGAGTCCAGTAAATATACAACAGGGGAACCCTGGGAAGCAAAGAACCCCTCAGTGCTTCTTTCTATTTGGATTCAGAATTTAAAGGCAAGTGAATCCAACCAAAGCCTACTACTATGTGTAAGGCCCTAATACACTCTTACTGGTCATCCCATGAGTATTCATTACAAACTTTATGCTCTTCAGTACATGTATTATATCAAAGTAAAACTCAATCTTGGTTCACAACAACTATGAAATAGGATAGGAAAGGTTTAGGGGTCAATTCAACATGAATTACTCCTGTTTAAATGAGTTTAACTTGTCCTTATTTAGAGATCAGTTATTATAACAATTAAATTGAAAATATTCATTCTCACATAGTATTAACTCATGTCACAGTTAAAACAAATTGCTATAGTGGCATTTTTTTAAGTCCTTAGGAAACTTCAGCTACCCACATGTGATATGGAAATGGTAAATTTTCGTATCATATCCTAACTGGCATTACATCATAATATTATTGACAACTTGTTTGGAAAAGCCTTTTTTAAAGAGCATAGTAAAAGAGTAATCAATTAAATTGCTAATTTCATAAAGAAACAAAATATAAAACTGAGTGAGTGTAAATTTTCTTTTACGAGTTTTTGACCCATATTCTACTCCCTTGCTAAAAACAAAACAAACATAAACAAAAACAAAAAAGATCAAGCTTAGTGTCACCCACAGCACTAAAGTTTAAGATACTAGCACATCATCAAATAAAAACAGATCTGGGTTCATCACCAAAAAGCCATTTATCCTGTGTTTATTACTAAAATAATTCAAGCCAACCATGATTATGAATGATGTATTTACATTAAGCACAAGTTCCAACCAAACATATAAAGTGACAGAGAGAAAGAAATTGAAGTACTGAAATTGTTTCAACAGACTGACAAAGCAACCATCTGTTGACATTACTGTCCTCTGAACCCAAGTGACCAAAATCATGTGGTAGGGCAGAGCTTCACCTTAGTTTTGAAGTCCTACTTTCGTGTCATAGGGCACTTCTGGAAGGAAGCTCTATAATGGCCAGCTCTGAGTATTTGCAGATTTCCTACTAGTCCTAACAGGAAGTCATTCCTATGTTTCACCTGCATGAGTTCCTGTTATGAGGCCAGTCTGTTGGTGAGCTGAAATCCAGTTCCAGGGAGTGATGTCATCTTGACTGAGCTTATGATCCTGATGACCTGCTCCCCAATCTGGTGTTGTTGCAGCCCTTCAGCTGGGATCCAGGTTATAAGAAAGGAGACCAAAAAGGGAAAAAGGGGGAGTAGGATAATAGAAAAATGAAAAGTACTTGCACATTTCATTGTTTTACTAAAGCATTTTGTGCTTTCATTTGAATTTGATGGTAGGAACTGGACAATGGCTGCTGAAAGCTGTATAGATGTTCTTGAAGCAGAGGTGGGCTATCACACCAAAAATACAAGGAAGACTTAAAACATACAAAAAAATTTGATTATTTTGGGTAACTTCCAACTTGGAAATAGTGACTTTTTCTTCTTTGGACAAAGCTTCAAATATAGATATTAACATTTAAAAAATATCTGTTAATGTAAGAAATAGAAAATAATGTTACTTAGCAATGCAGAAAAAATGCATGACTACAGGAGTTATCTTCCCAACATAAAGACATGCCAAATACAATGTTTGCAGATGTATGAGCACTCATATTCTTTCTGTATAAAGTAAACTAAACTAAGAGGTCAAATATGGAAATCCTATAACTGTCAGTAATAAAATAGGATTGTCATTCAACTCCATTTAGACGCAATCCTTTGATTCTTAACACACTATGCCAAAAAGTAAAATGATCTCATGCATAAGAAAAGAAAATGATAGTATTCCTGAAGGAACAGAGGCTCACCTTCAAAGAAAAATAAAAAGCAATTAAATAAAGGAGATATTTCAATTTTTACCACATTTATTTCAGATCATGATTTCTTAGTCCTTATTAAGTTGATACAATTTGGGGAAATAAATATTCCCTTCCCTTTTTTGTTGCATGTATATTAGTAGGAGTGGGAAGAATGGAATATGAGAGAATAGGCAAGAATATAAGAAATGGAAAGATGGGAATGGAAATGATGTTTAAAATAGAGACAGAGTGAGTATTTATACGAATTTCTTCTCTAAATAAGTAGTATCAACAAACAAAATACAAAGCTGACAGTAGAGAATGTTTTCTCCTGACATGGAATGAAGTCTGAAACAATATGAGACCACATGCAAGATACATTAATTGTACAGCATCGTGGTACAGTTTCCTATTAGGCATGTGTATATTATTATTTTCACTTCTTAAGCTTCACAGATGACCTTACTCATGAAGCACTCTTAGTGTATTATTCAGTAAATATTAATTTGATCATACAAGTCTATCTTGGTTAGCAGAACACAGTTAGCTGCCATGTAAAGGTCCTTCTTTTAAGTAACAGAACTTCGTATCAGAATATCTTGAGGGGCATTCCTCTTTCAGTTGGGTTTACAACTCTTCTGAAACTCTAAATGCAATTAAATAAAGATCACATCTTGGTTAAAGGATAGTGTACAACAGCCCCTTGCTATTATAAATCAGCCAATATCTTCCAGGCGATAATTGTAAATAAATTGTTCTTTTTTGACTTTTTTCTTCCTTTAATTCCTTAAATGTCTTTATTCAAATGATTTGCTGTTCCATAAATGATTGTGAGGCAGAGGTGCCTCTATGCTGGAGACGCTTGTCACAGGAAAGATCAGGAAGTGTGCAGATAACCCCTCATTGTGTTCATCTCATCAGTTTTGCCCAATCCACAGGGGTGAAAAATGGATGAGATTTGATGTCTTCAACACCAGCAACTCCAGCACCAAGACGCTCCATAGGGTTGAACTGCAGCAGCTAAAAAAAGAAGGATTTGGTGAGGAACAGGGATCCAATTGGTGCATGAAGGGAAAATAGAAATACATGAAAGTAAAGAACTTGTAACCCAGTGAGAAATGGACTTAATAGCCAGTTGACTATGTTTCCTCGAAAGGGTGCTATGTCTAACAACACTGCCGCTGCCAGCAGGGCTGTAGGGGATACCTAAACTGAATTTATGCATTTGTAACTGCTATTTGAAACATAACTTTGAGTAACACTTTGTTTTTATCAACCTCATGTAGTAAAATAAGATAGTCAATCTACCAGTGAAGTAGTGAAATAGGAATATTTCTAAGGCATGTCTAGACATTAATTAGACATTGCCAAAAATTCTAAGAAAGCCAATTACCCCCTTCATAATTAAGAGCTTTGTGAGAAACAACAGAAATCTCTCAACCCCTAATGAACTATATACACACTGGAACGAAACTTAACCTAAAGTCTGAATGAGCTAATTCATATTTTAAAATTGCTTTCTATGGATTAGCTGACACTAATGAAATAATTTGATCTCCTAAGTGAAATGTAGGAGCTCTGGTGGCGAAGTGCCTAAAGTACTTGACTGCTAACCAGAAGGCTGGCGGTTCAAACCCACCAGCCACTCCTCGGAAGGAAGGTTGGGCAATCTACTTCCGTAGTGATACCGCCTCAAAAACCCAAGGAGGGGTCGCTATGAGTCAGGGCCGACTGGAGGGCACATAACAACAACAACAACAAGTGAAATGGGTCATGACTTCTTCAGAAATAGGTATCATGCATAAAATAACAACAACAGGACTGTTAGTGAGAGTAAAGAAAAACAGTCATAGATAATTACAGTAGACCACAGACATGCTGGAGGAGCATGTCCTGAGACATTTATGACTCCTCACATTTTTTTGTTTTAACAGCTTCACTAAGTGTGAGAGTTAATTTTATAGGTTAGTTTGGCTACGCTATGGTTTCCAGTGATTTGGCCAAACACTAGTCTGGCTGCTGTCCCATGTGTAATCTAATGTAATATAATGAAATCACCTTCCATAATGCAATCTAATGCAATCTAATCGATCAATGAGTTGAAAAGGAGCTTTCTTAGGGTGTGTTCTGCCTCCAGACTATAAATAGATATTTTGGCAGAACTTTCTCTATTCACTCTGCACTCTTCCCATCACCTGACCTACAAGTTTTGGGACACAAAATCACTGGTTCTGTTTCTCTATAGAAATCTGGCTAAGATACTGAGGGATAATTTATGCATCATAAAATTCATCCATTTTACATGTACAATTCAATGACATTTAGTAAACTTAAAAGACTCACAATCCAGTTTTAAAATATTTTGATCACCCCACAAAGTTTCCTCATGCCATTTGCAGTTAATCCTCACTCTCATCCCCAGCCCAGGCAACCACTGATCTGTTTTTTACCTCTATAAACCTGCCCTTTCTGGACATTTCACGTAAATGGAATCATAAAATATGTAGTCTTTTGCAGCTGCTTTTTTTTTTTCACTTAGTATAATGGTTTTTGAGATTCATACATGTTGCAGCATCTATCAATAATGTGTTCCTTTCTATTTATGAATAGTATTCCATAACACACATTGTTTATCCATTCACTAGCTAATGGACATTTGGACTATTAACAGTTTGGGGCAATTATGAAAAATGCTGTATTAGTATTCACATATATGCCTTTATGTGTAACGTTTTAAGAAAGTGCCAACCTTTTCTAAAGTGGCTGTATCATTTTTCATTCCCACCATCAATATATGAGGATTCCAGTTTCTCTACTCTTTACCCACACCTTGTGCTACCTTTTTGATAACAGCCCTTCTAGTGTGTATGTAATAGTATCTTACAGTTTAAATTTTTACCCCCTACTGAAATGGAGCCCTAGTGGCACAGTAATTAAGTACTTGGCTGCTAACTGAAAGGTCACTGGTTTGAACTCACCAGCCACTCTGCACGAGAAAGATGTGGCAGTCTAATTCCATAAAGATTTATAGCCTTGGAAACTGATGGGGCAGTTCTATTTTGTCCTACAGGGTCATTATGAATCAAAATCAACATGCCAGCAACAGCGTTTTTTTTTTTTTTTTTTTTAAATAACTAATGATTTGAGCATCCTTTCATGTCCTTATAAGCCCATTAAATATCTTTTTTTGGTGAAATAACAATTCGAACATTTTATCTCATTTTAAAGTGTGCTGTCTGTCTTATTATTGAGTTATGAGAGTTCCTTATACATTCTGGTACAAGTGCTTTACCAGAAAGATGATTTGCAAATATTTCTCCTAGTCTATAGCTTGTCTTTTCATTTTCTTAATGGTATTTTTTTTTTTTAAGAACAAATAAACCCAATGCCATTGAGTCGATTCTGACTTATAGCAATGCTATAGGACAGAGCAGAACTGCCCCACAGGGTTTCTAAGGCTGTAAATCTTTTTGGAAGCAGACTATATCTCATCTTTCTTCCATAAAGCAGCTGGTAGGTTTGAACCAGCAACCTTCTGGTTAGCAGACAAATACTTTTAACCACTGTACCACCAGAGCTCCTTAAGAGCAAAAGTTTCTAATTTTAATGAAGTCCACTTTATCAACTCTTCTTTTATGGGTTATGCTTTGGATGTTATATCTAATAATTCTTTACCTAATCCAAAGTCATGATTTTCTCCTAGAATATTTACCACCTCTGAAACTCAAAGGGGGTCACAATGAGTTGGAATTGACTCAATGGCAATGAGTTTGGGTTTTGGAGTTTTTTTTATAGACCTATAACCTATTTTGAGTTAACTTCATTATTTTTCTTTTTTTACATGTGAATATCCAATTTTTCCAGCACCATTTGTTGAAAAGACTACCCCCCCCCATCAAATTATCTTGGCATCTTTATTGAAAATTAATGGACAATGTAAAGGTTTATCTCTGGACTCTCTCTTCCATTCCATTGATACATATGCCTATCTTTGCTTCAAGATCATATACTGTCACTCAACTCAAAAAAACGACATTTAAAGAAGTAAAGGAAAATATGACAATAATGAATCAAAAGAGATTCTCAATAAAGAGATAGAAATTATATATTTAAAAAGAAGAAAATAATTGAAATGAAAAAGTTTACTACAAAAAATTTACTAGAATAGCTCAACAGCAAATTTGATATAGAAAAAGAATCAATGAATCAGAAAATAAAGCAATAAATAAAAACTGCAGTCTAAAAAAAAAGAGAGGAAAAAAGTTGGAAGAAAAATGAACAGATCCACAGAGACCTGTGAATAACATCAAGTGAACCAACATACATGTAATGGGAGTCCCAGAAGGAAAGAAGAGAGGGAAAAGGGCAGCAAAAACATTGGAAAAAATAATGGCTGAGAATTTCCTAAATTTGATGCAAAACAATCTGTGCATCCAAGAAACTCAATAACCTGCTCTCCTAGCTCCATCATAATGTACAGCTGCTGATGTCTCTGCTGAATTTATTTTTTCTGGTGCTTCCTAAAAGTTTCCTCTCTGTCTGCATAGCTTACCATCAGCCAGTGATTGGACAGAGGTTGTGTTCAAACACCTCGAACTATTTAAACTTCCGTCTTCTGACAATAGGTATATATGTGAATAGAAGAATGCACTCAAAGTTCAGGCCACTTTCAAAACTGCACTGTTTTTTGCTTTCAGATGGGCCCTTTTCCTGATCCTATATGCAAATGCATGCAGCCTTCATGGCCTGTCTCACTCGCAGAACCACTCTACCTGACCAAGTAGGAAGGAGTAATGGGAGTAGTTCTGGGCAAGAATGCCACAGACTTTCCCAAAGTTCAGCATTTTTCAAGCACAAATGCTTTTCAGATTGTAGTATCTCTGATTAACTTCCAGAGCACTGTAATGTTTGTTTTTGCCAATATTGTACAACTTCGTAGTTGCTTTTACTAGGGAAAGAATTTGCCAACTTCCTCACATGGCCATGGCCACTCAGATTTGAGGATATTCCTACAGCAAATAATTTGTAAAATTATTTTTTATTACTCAATGTAGTTTAAAATATTTAATGATTCCTTTAAAAAACTTAAAAATCCTACACATAGAACCCACTATTCAAATTTAACCAAAAGTTCTACTTCTTCTTTCATTCATGATTCATTAATTGAATAATTGTGTGATAAGTATTTATAGACTCTCTGTAATCTGCCAGTCCATCACTTTTTTTAGACCTCTTAACTTTTATCACCAACAGTTGCCTTCTACATTAACAGTGCTATAATTCAAATATGTGCTTCATCAATTACAAATTTTATATGTCATGGCCCTTCAACACTGTTCTATCAGTAATAATAGTAATAACAATAATAAAGCATTTATATACAACTTATTATGTGCCACACATTATTATAAGTGTTTAACATAGATTATTTCATTTAACTCAAACTCTTTGAAAAGCTACTATTATCTCCACTTTATAAATGAGAAACAGAATCTCACAGACATTAAATAACTTATTTAAGATCATACAGCTAGTAAGTGGCAAAGACAGGATTTGAATTCAGGCAGTCTAGCTCCAAAATCCATGCTCCTAACTACATGATCACATGACTCATGAGTGTTTAATTTGCCAATGCCATCAATCTATTACTTCACTTTGATATTAGCAAATCCACAAGGGGAGTGAAGCATATGCTTCAAAAGACCACACTAACAGTCTTTTTACTTGAAATTATTCTGTCTAGCATACAAAAATGACCATAAATCTAAATGCTCAAAGAATTTTTATATTAGAAAAAAGTTGCTAAAATGTGTTCAGAGAAAATCTGCTATTATAATACAAACTTAATTCACATCATAAGAATATCCTAAATGTACCAAATCCATTTTCAGTATCAGACAATTCACGTGTACTGATTAAAAGGTGAAGGATGCCAGGCATTATAGTATCAATCTAAGATATCAAACATTGGTAAGAATTTAAAATAAATACATTATATAATTTTATACTACTGGAAACAAACAAATGTGTAAGTTGTTTCTTCTTTGTTACAGCTTTTAACACCTCCACTCTTTCCAAAACATGAGGCAAATACAAAATCCCAATGAAGCCTCATGTTTTGACTTTTACTAAAGTTAACTTGCTTAGTTCATTGGGCATTCTATAATATTTGCAAGTATACATCTACAGGCAAAGGTATAATTGTTTTACTTATGACTACTTGCTTACTCGCACATTTAAAACAAATACCAGGCCTCAAGAGAGATCACAGAAAGAAGTTTGATTGCTTAAGAAAGTATGTCAGCTATTGGCAAATCAAAGACAGCCACTGCCACCTCCTTTATCCTGAATAATGAACAACAGAACTAAGCAATGAAGGAACAAAAATTTCTGTTTTGAAGGTTTACTTCTCATATAGTATCTTTCAACTGACAAAGCAACTGTGGCATAATTAACTAAATGCACACTAAAGAGTACAAATATATACACTAAGGATTTATAAAATGTGTCTTTAAACGTAAGACTGCATTTTAATGTATGAACTATGTTTACATTAACACCATTCACTTGACTGGGACAGTGGTTCAAGGGATTATGAAATCTAGGAAGAAAGCAAGGAGCTGAAAGAGCAAAGAAAAAGAAAGCTCCCCAAAGCACAATAATTTTTCCAAATAAATCATTTTGTAATTGTTCAAATGGCATCTACGACCTGTGAGGGAATGGAAGAGGAAAGTCAAAATGACAAATTGCTAATCATGCCAAGAGACTCCTTTTCCCTTTCCTGATGATGTTTCCTCAACATGAGTGGTAGTTTCCTTAGGCAGCCCAATGACAGAATGCTGATTTACTATTTAAGCTATGTATTTGGGGACTTAACATATCTTAAGCCTAGACTCCTTCTCAACATAATTTCTAATAAATAAAACAACAGCACAGCTTTAGAAATTAATGTGGGGAACTGCATTTTCAATATTATATTAGAAAGACTACTTCTTTATGAAAAAAAAAAAAAGTAGTTGCTAGCCTTTCCTAAATTATTTTAAAAAAGAAATCTGAATTTACCTAATTGTGTTACAACAAATAAGAAGAAAGCAAATGAGTAGCTTTCTTTTTCTCCTATCAGAACAAAATGATTCATAAATCTTTTTCTTACCTGATTTCTTTCACAAAGTGCTCTTGGTACTCTCATCTCGGTATGGTTTACATACTCTAGGCAAATCAATCTTCCTGAAGCACAACACTGACCCTTTTACTCTTCTAAACAAAAACTCCAAATTTTGATTTTTACAGAATAAAATATTATCACTCTGCCCCAGTGTTTATGATAAAAGAATCCCATAAGGTTTCTTTCTACTCTCACCTATCATTAGCACTCATCCCTCCTCTCCAGATAAACCAATCTTTTGACTTCCCAAAATGAGTCTTTCTGACTCCCTCCTTGCCTTGCCTTTGTTCAGGTTATTAATCCCACCATATCCAATCCTGACATGCCAAAATCCTGTCTGAGGTATAGCAAAAATAACTCCACAAAACCGTTCCTGATACTACTACCACACTGGCTGTAATCCCTTCTTCTCTTGACTTGCCAAAGTATTTTTTAAACCTCTTTGACAGCCCTTATCAAATTCCATCTTCTGGTATAATTATTTGTGAGCTTTATCCTGGAAGCTTAAAATACTGTATCTTGAATATAATATTTGCTGAATGAAAATAAAAAAACTCTTCAAGACAATATAATTAATATATTTTCCTTTCCCTGTCTTCATTCTTTTAAAGGGGGGGGGGGGACTTATATTCCCAGATTAACAAAAAAAAAAGTATCTCATTAAACATTTTAGTTTTTGACTTTTTCTAAATAATTTTCCCATTTATGTTTTTCATAAATGTATAAAGATCCCAGGGCTGATAATTCTTGCTGATTTGCTGTGTCTCTATCCTACTATCATAGAAACAACCCTCAGTGTATCAGTAACACCCACTATTCAAAACCTGAGTATTTTCAATATGGGGAATCAATTTAAGAATCTACCTAGAGTCCCAAGCCTACCTGTGGGATACTAAATTTTAATTATCAATATCTCTTTCTTCAAAGCTACCAAAACTGTCCTAATCGACAGCAATGTCCAAGCTGCATCTATGGATGAAGCTGAAGTAGTGATCTAACTTGGCAAGATTTTCTAACAATACCTCTCTCCAAAACAACCTGGCTAGCACATCTTTAACTTTATAAATATGAAGGCTGAAAAATAGCCATCATACATCGTACCGAATGTAATGGTAAAAATAGAGACCTCCCCCCCAAAAAAAATCCAAACTCACTACTGTCGAGTAGATTCCAATACACAGTGACCCCTCCTTGGGTTCCCGAGGCTGTATCTCTGTGGAAGCAGATTGCCCAGTCTTCCTTCCAAGGAGTGCCTGGTGGGTTTGAACCACCATCAGCCTTCTGGTTAGTAGTCAAATGTCTTAGGCACCTGCCACCAGAGCTCCCAAAAATAGAGCAACCTTTGACAAACTAAAAGCAACACTTAAATCTCACATCACTACAAATATATGGGACTAAACATTTGCCTATATTAAAAAAAAAAAAAAAAGAAGAAGAAAGAAACCTAATACTAGGCTTTGCTATGAATTGGGTCCGATTCAACAGCACATAACAACATACAACAACAAGGCTTTAACCAACCCCACCAATACTTTATTGATAAAGTAAAAGCCTAGGAATATACTATCTGAATATAACTTGGAATTTCCAATATTAATGGGTATTTCTTGCCTAAAACGAATTTCTTTAAGGTTTTGGAATTGTAAGCTCTGCTGATTGGCATGGTTGATATACCTGGCCAATAGGTCAATTAAATTACCTGTTGAATGAGTGAGCGAGCCTCTTCAGAGACACATTCTGGCATGTTCAGAGTAGTGTGAGTATTTATTCCTGCTGGATGGCACTCAACCAGAGTCTGAAACAATCAATCAGGTACACTCCTTATCCCAACTAACATCATATTCTGTTCTACCACAGGATTTATGAACAGTAAACACAGAGAGGTCAATAACCATCTTAATTGGAGATGCAGTAATCAGTATAGTTCGGTCTAACCAGGTTAGGACAAGGGCTATGAGACTACAGAACATTAACTCTGAAACATGAAAAAAAGGCAGACAATCATCAAGATTACATCTTAAGTTTGTTATAAAAGTTATGTCAAAGATATTGCCATGCTAGACCTTTTCCCTTAGTTAGAAAGTCTTATAATAGAAAAACTTACATTACACTCAAAAACCAAAAAGGGACTTGATATCTCTGAATTTTTTAATATTCTTAAAAATTTCAACATTTAGAATCTGTTAGTAATAATACTTTGTATGTATATAGGCCATTATTGTTTAAATGCATATAAAGGTACTTTGTAAACTCCACAACAATCTTAGAAATTTGGTATTATTTACATTTTTAAGGTAGGTGATTACTTACAAAAAGCACAACTGTTCATTGGCTATGTTTTCTTCATATTTGCACAGTACTCTATTTGAGTTGATTAACCTCAAACATCATACTGAAAAATTACTGATCAGAGAGAGGATAAATTCTCTCTTTAAACTAAAACAGAGGTAAAATTTACAGTACTGAGAAAAAAGATAATGCTACTTTTACCATTTAAATTAATTTTCTAAAATGAGAATGCCCTCCTGGTTTCAGAAATAATGTTTAAAAACAAAGAACGCTAATACAACCTTGCAGGAACCATACAGATGATTTTAACTCTTTTAAAACTGAACCACAGAACCATAGAAGATGAAGAGAAAGAATATTGATCTTATATCTCACCATGCAAGACTATGACATAAGAGAATTTTACAATTAATCTATTTAGTGTAATATAGTTCTACTTTTTAAAAAAATCTAGAATTTTGTTGAACTTGATCTCTGCTTGTTTTTTGGATCAGAGCTTTTCTCACCTAGTCTCTCATCTGAAAAATAAAGGCAAAGCCTAACATTCTAAATTTAAAATCAAGGTAGCATCTGGATAAATGTATTAAATGTCCAGGTCACTGCTTACCTTGCCAGTGAGAAGTTCAAAGAGGACAGCACCCAAACTCCACCAATCGCAGGCTTCAGTTTCTTCCGTGATTGCTCCAACCTCTAAACACACGAAAAAAAGGTTGATATTAAAATTCCAAAGGTCAGTTAAACTTTCAAAATTAACATGTGTTAGCAAGGTGACCTTTTAGTGCTGAGAGAGCATATACTAAATATTACTGGGCTTTCAAAATTCCTGAAAGTTACTTATCCCTTTGGTCACCTACTGTGGTTGCACTTTTTTTTTTTTTGGACACAGTCATATATTAAACTGAGACATTTGTTCTTTATTTGATAGAGGGACACCTTCAAGATGCCGTACTTAAAACAGTTACAGGAACCTACTAGATCAGCATTTTTCAAATTTGAAAAAGTACAGCCAACTCTACCTCTAGGGGTCATTTTTTAGTTTGAAAACAAAGACTCCTTAAGTTCAAAAGGAACTTCAAAATTTATCTAACCTGATATTAATTATCTTTTTACTAACAGGTTAAAAATCAGAAGAGTGAAATGTCTTGTCCAATATCATACAGAATTCACAGCAGAACTAAGGTCTAGTTTACAGTATCACCTTCTCTCCTCTGTATAATCAATTGTTTTTGACTAAAAAGGAATGTGAAATGCAAATCTACTCACTTTGTTTAGAAGCAGAGACAGAAATAATGGAACTACTGGCCAACATAAGGGCTTTGTGTATTATCTGCAAATCATCACAACTTTAACTGTGTTACAGGAGGCTTTAAGCATCATCTTTCTGATTTTCCCACAAATCAACAACAATTCCTCATTCTGAAGGCTTCTAGTCCTTTTGTTGTTGTGGTATAGTAAATTACTTTGTGTGGCTTTTCTACCCATAAGTCTTTGTAAACTCCAAGGTGGGATTTGCTATGAGCAACTGAGGAGCTCCTGATTGCTGAAGGTGTCCACCTGGAGTATTTCTGTTGGGAGTGGCACAAAACAATGTTCTGGGAGGTGCCCACTCTCTCTCAGGTGCTTAGAGTTCTGATGCTATAATTGGCTAGTTTGACCACCCTGCCGGGCTCAAAAAGGAGGCCTCCTGGAAGCAGAACTCTCTCTGACTGCTGGTTGAGGAAGACGTGCTGCTGAAAGAGACATGGGCTCCTGAGACACGCGTTGCTGGGAAAGAGACGCAAGAGACATGCATTGCTAAGTGAGACAGCGAGGGACCAGCACTGCTGGGAAAGAGACTGTGAGAGACTCTTGGCTGAGGGACGGTGGGCTGGGAGAGAGACTGAGCATTCTTCCTGAACTTGAGTTGTAGCCTGGTGCTTCCCTAATAAACCCCATAATCTGTGAGTTCTGTGTGGCCACTGCAGTGAATTATCGAACCCAGGAGAGAGGTGGTGGGTGCTTTGGGAGGAACGGTTGGTGAAAGGGCTGGAGGGAGGCAGCATGTTTGGCCTTGCAGTAATAGGCCTTGGGTTACTGCTGTCTTCCTCTTGTGAGATTAGAGGAGGTCAGAACATGTGGCCTCCTTGCCGTTTTTGCAGTCATCTATGACATTCAATTAATCATTAAGTCTTTTTGATATATGCCCTCCCATTTCTATATAACACTAAACTGTATTTACTACTTAACCACAGGGTATCCTATAATGCATAACAATGTTCCAAAAGCTGATAAACTGTAGGTTGAAACTTGGAAAAACAATAAGTAGACATGGTACTAAAGTATTCAGTCACTTAACCAATGCTTAGTTAATGTAACAAAACTTACAAAATAGCTTGAGCTTTAGGTCTTAAAGCAAGGTCTTATATTGGAACAGAAAAAAGAAAAGTCCTTCTTATGTTAAATACTAAAAATGCTCCACTTCAGCAACCCTCTTTTATATCTATGTGTCTACCCTCTTTCTCTAGATTTCATAGCACTTTAATTGTGCTCATAAAGTACCTTTACACAGACTAAGAGGCAGTCCTTCAAACAGAACAACTTCATGGTTTAAAATCAGGAAGGGTGTGTGTCAGGGTTATCCTTTCACCATACTTATTCAATATGCTGAACTAATAATCCAAGAAGCCACATTATATGAAGAAGATCGTGGCATCAGGATTGGAAGAAGATTCATTAACAACCTGCAATATGCAGATGACACAACCTTGCTTGCTGCAAGTGAAAATGACTTGAAGCACTTACTGATGAAGATCAAAGACTATTGTTTTCAGTACAAATTACACCTCAACATAAAGAAAATGAAAATCCTCAAAACTGGACTTATAAACAACATCACGATAAATGGAGAAAAGATTGAAATTGTCAGGGATTTCATTTTACTTGGAACCACAATCAGTATCTATGGAAGCTGCAGTCAAGAAATCAAACAACATACTGCATTGGGGAAATGTGCTGCAAAGGACCTCTTTATAGTGTTTAAGAACAAAGATATCACCTTGAAGACTAAGGTGCACCTGACCTAAGCTATGGTATTTTCAATAGCTTCATATGAATGTGAGAGCTAGACACTGAATAAGGAAGCTTGCAGAAGAATTGATGCTTTTGAAATGTGGTGTTGGCAAAGAATATTGAAGGTACCATGGACTGCAAGAAGAATGAACAAAGCTGTCATGGAGGAACTACAAACAGAATGTTCTTTAGAAGCAAGAATGGTCTGACTTCGTCTCTCATGCTTTGGTGGTGGTGTTAGAAGGGACCAATCTCTGGAGAAGGATATCATGTCCAGTAAAGTGGAGGGTCAGTAAAAAAGGAGAAGACCTTCAACGAGATGGACTGACACAGTGGCTGAAACAATGAGTTTGAGCAACAATTATGAAGCTGGTGTAGGACTAGGGAGTGTTTCATTCTACTGCACACAGGTCCACTGTGAGTTAGGACCGACTTGATGGCACCTAACAATAACAACATGGAGGCCTACAAGGAGCCCTGGTTAAGCTCTCAGCTCTGAAAGGTTGGCAGTTCAAACCCACCAGCTGCTCTACAGGAGAAAGATGTGGCAGTCTGCTTCCATAAACATTTACAGCCTTGGAAACCCTATGGGGCAGTTCTTCTTTGTCCTATACGGTCACCATGAATTGGAATCGATGCAACAGCAATGGGTTTGGTTTGGTTTTTGCATCATATAGGCCTACACTCCTTCATGTGTGTCCCTATCCAGTCTATCCTTCCCTTAAGTGCTTTCCATCAAATCACCTCCATTCTCTAACTATATAGCTACTCTCAGCTGTTGTTGTTGTTGTTATGTGCCGTCAAGTCGGCCCCGACTCATAGCGACCCCTCCTTGGGTTTCCGAGGCAGTATCACTATGGAGTCAACTAGGTGGTTAAAAAGAAAACACAGAACTAACTCAAACTACAGTAGAGTCTAATCCTCCTAGGCCCATTTGCATTTATAAAATGGTTGCTTATTTAAAAAACTGAGAACAGCCAATGGGAGGTTAATTATATATACTGTGGCACATCCATATGATGAAACAACTTAAAGTAAAACCTGCAAGGGACAGAACCTGTGTAAGGTGGAAACCTATCAGAGAAGGAAGTGCAAGTAATTTCCACTAAAACATGTGACAGAAAAGTGGTAAGGTGGAAAAAGTACAACACTCACAAAAACAAAGCAGTCACGTTAAGTTCTAGCTCTCACAGATTTCACTGTACTACAGAGCCATTTCAAATGATGTATTCATATAGATATAATATAAATAAATGTTTGGCTATATGTTTTAAAAAAAACAAGCTGTAAAACAACAGAATTTCAATTTTAAAAGTATGTTTTTAGAAAAAAAAACTCACGAAGAAATATGACAAAATGTCTTAGTGATTTGCCTCTGAGGTGGTAAGACTTTTATATTTATTAACTTATGTAAATATCTTAGTGCTACAATTTTTAAAAGTGTAACAAGATGATGTGAAAACATTTATTGGAAAAGTTACTTTGAAGCATAGGAAGCTATGTAAGTCAATCCTCCCAGAGTCTGCTCATCTACACAGTTTTTTCACAACTTTAATCTATTACATGTTAAATAGATCAATGGACTAGGAATCGGGAGTCCTGGGTTAGGACACTGAGGAAGTTACTTGATCTCAACTATAACATGAAGGTTAGATCTGAGGGCCTCTTGGTCAAACGTAGCTTTGTATTTTATGATTTTGAAACTCAAGGATTCTCCAAAATAGTGCTTCTCATGAAGGACAACTCCCTGAGGTCTCTCTTTCAAAGTCCATACACTACCCCTCCCAGATTCAAGTACACTGCCCTCCACCCAGCTTTCCCACCTTGCCACAGACAGCCAGAGGTGAGCTTTAGAAACTTTAGAGAGGGGGTGTGCTCTTACAAAAAGAAAAAGAAAGTTTACCATAGTGTGGCATCAAATATAACTTTTGACACATTTCCTCCCAGTATAAAGCAGGTAATGGATTATATCATTTCTCTGTTCAAAATTCTTAAATGGTTTCTCACTGACTATTAAACAGCATCCAAGTGCCATGCTTAATCAAGCACAGATAATAAGGTCTCCATAATGAGGTCACAACCTATGAGATTCATTTAACACACACATTAAGGGGCACAAACTAGGCAGCGTGCAAGGCACTATCGCTCCATAGGAGTTCTGGTGGCATAGCACCTAAGGCATTTGACTGCTAACCAGAAAGCTGGTGGTTCAAACCCACCAGCCACTCCTCGGAAGAAAGGTTGGGCAATCTACTTCCACAGTGATGCCACCTCAGAAACCCAAGGAGGGGTCGCTATGAGTCAGATCCAACTCAATGGCAGTGTTTTGTTTTTTTGTTTTTTTATCGCTCCCTAGAACTCTATAGTATACTCTATAGTATAGCTCTGGCTATACTACTGAATTATGTTGAAAAAAAACCAGTTTTCCCAACAGCATAATTAATCCATGGTTTTATTTTCAATATTTCCTTGTTCAACCTGAAGTAATCAAGTTTTAAATCCATCACTTTTACAGTACAATTTAAAACATTTCAAAATAGCTTTATATTAAGCAAGATTTCATTGATTACTATAAATGTGACATCATAAGGTGATAGGGAACAATTGTTTTATATTTTCACTGATGAGATGAATGTAAGCTG